TTTGGTGGATGTCCTATGCAAACTGTGAGCTAAGCTTGTAAGTAGTCTCTGCCCAAAACTTTACTTTGGTCTCTGATCCTTCAACTTATTTTGTACTAAACTTTGAGCCTGAGTAATTTATGTAAAATAAGTCTTTTGTTCTTGTAAATATTTCTTTCTTCCTTATGTACTGACCAAGAACTCTCTTTCAAATTCCTTGTTTCATTTACCCTGCGCACACTAAATCTCTTTTAGGTGACTACATAAATTCTATACCTATTAAACATCAAGTTTTCTTTTCTACACTAGCATTTCTCTAATTGTTATGACTTTTAACATTAAATGAACCTGCTTTTAAATCTGCTCTCCAAGTAAGAGCACCTGATTAATATTATTGAGCAAGCCATTCCTGTACCTGATAAGCCATGGGGTTTATCAAGGGAGGGATGTTGCACTTTTACCACATACGAAAGGAAATTATTCAAAAGTACTAGCAAAGGAAATTAAAAGGAATGCCACATCCTCTGCTGCAATTTTCAGTTGTTTGCTTGCTTAAAAATTTGATGATAATTAAAGACTTTGTATATCTAGCAGCAAGTTAAATATTCCCAGCAGAATCTCCACAGCTAAAATTATAAATAATCAAGGGAATCAATCACCTCGGAAAATAAGTTCAAAGAGAGCACAATTCATCCATGAATGAAAAGTATAAAATAGGGACTTATATCATAAAAAATGCAAGTAGATGGATGCCTTGCCAGGACCTTTATGGTTTTACCTATATAGATAAGTAGATTAAATACTTTTATTAGACATTAGATTAAACTCATTCTAGACATATACAATGGGGTTATGTTTGAAGAATATTGACTATTTAAATATATGATAGAGTAATTTAACACAGGAACTTTTTAACATCTTAACATAATGCCAATCAACTTGGAGCATGCTTGAGGAACCTTAAGAGAATAGAATGACCTGAAGCAAACAGATGAAAATATTGCAGAAACAATTTTACATCAGTACTTTGTCATCCAAGTTACCTACAAAATCCTATCCGATCAACTGATGAACATACACTTCATGGACACATCCACTAACAATCAACATGCAATTCCCCTAGGTTGTCCATCAACAATAAATAAAATGACATCTGTTGTCTATCGGGGAGAGAAGTGAAAGAGAGAAAAGATTGAAGTGCACATACAGTGGTATGCTAGTTATCTATTTATGTTAGTCATAAAAATAAAACAATTAGTAAACTGTATTAAACCAGTGTGTCTCAGGGTCCATAAATCTCAAAACGTACACAGAGCTCACACTCCTTAAGGGTTTGGAACCTACTCATGGGTTCTGGAACGATTGTCATTCTATGTTCCAGGATTTATGATGAAAGACCTATACTTAACCTTGTTAATTATTGGAGTAAAAAAGGCCCACAATATTAGCCATGACAAATTTATCTACAAGAAATGGATTTACTCTAGCATCTCAGTATGATTAATTTTGCAATATGGCTCTACTTTCTTTTAATTTGTTCTTCAAATGGTTTAAAAATTTGGCTAAAGTATATATTTAGCCTCTTACCTTATTAAGTTTGAAGTTTTTAGCCCCTCACCTTATACTATAAAGTTTTTTGCCCTTGAACTTATAGGTTCGAAGATTTTAGCCTCTAAACAAATGGAATCCATTAACTCTCCATTAAAGTGAAAATAAAATATTTATAGGATCAATTCTGAAAGATTAAAATGTAACAATTTAATTCCAAAAGTTTAAAATTTTAAAAAATTAGTAAACTAAAAATAAATGGACAACTTTCTCACATACATTAGAATAGTATTAGATATCTGTAAACAAATTGACCAATGAGCTCAATTTGAAGAAAGAATTTTGATTGAGATTAAAGAAAACTTATTGGTTGAATTAAGATAGAAAGTCCAAGAGACCAAAACAATACAGCTAAAAAATTTTCTTTAATCCCAATTAGATTTCTTTCTTCAGATTGAGCTACTTGCTCAATATCACTGTAGATATCTAATACTGTTCTCGTATATGTGACAAAGTCATCCACTAATTATTTTCAATTTATCATTTTTTTTAATTTTTAATCTTTAAAAACTAAATTATTTCATTTTTAATTTTTAAGGACTGATCATGTAAATATTTTATTCTCACCTTAACAAAGATTTAACAATTCTGTTAGTTTAGGGGCTAAAAACTTCCTAGCATAAGGTAAGGGGCTAAAAGCTTCAAACTTAATAAGGTAAACGGCTAAATGTATACTTTAACTAAAAAATTCACCCAGTCTATTAACATTTCTCAAAATTATAAATAAACGTTTCTTGATTTTATGATATCCGTATGGAAAAGAAAATGTTAATATTATCTCTATTAGGAAACATTTTAAAACATCACCTCCTGGAAAATTTTCAAATATCATGTGAAATAATAATGGTCAAGTACTAGATTTAATTAGCAATATTTCAGCTTTCAACTCACAGCATTGGAGAAAAGGATCCATGATTGTTAATTAATAATAATGTCCTAAGGAGTAATCAAAGAAAAATATTTGAGAAAGAAACCAAATCTACATAACTAAATTGATAACACAGAATAACATAGACCTAAAGCATGACAGAATTTGCTTAGAACCCAAGGGCCCAAATCCTAAAATTATATTGAAATTTAAAAATTCGCTAAAAAAAAAAAAGTACCAAATAATAAATAAATCTATTCCCTGACCACATTGTGAGCCCTTCAAGAGAAAACATAATTGAAAACTATCTTTTACTACCTTCAACCTTCAAAACAGCATTTAGCCCCTGGCACATTTTAAAACTAAATAGCTGATTTAAAGAATTAGGATCATCTTAACAAGGATCTCAAATAAGTGTTCATCCATAATTTCAAATACCTAGATAAAAATTATCTCTTAAATAGCCTCCTGTAGGTGAATTTCAAATACCTAAATGAAAATTATATTAAAAAAATAATAATAAAAACTAAGGAATTTTTTTATAGAAATAGAACATAAAGTGGACAAGCGCAATTCCAAATACAAAAAAGTAAAAGCAGAAAGCTATATCATTGCTATCTAGTTTTCTCCTACGTCAAAGGTCACAGAACCATTAAGCAGATTAAAATTCTGCCTATACACACATCATAGCTAACCAGACATCAAACTTTAGCAATATCCAAGAGACTCAATGAACATAGTCAAGCTTCTTAAAAGGACATAATGAGAGAAGGTTGCAATAAAGCATCAACTCAAATCTTATTGCAGAAGAATTGGCACCTTTGAAATGTGAACCCCAAGATTCCGATGAACACCAGAGCATTCAATGCATAACAATATGCCAAGATTTAGAGATGCCCAATCAGGTCCAGGAGCACCGCACTCTGCACAAGTATCATTTCCAGCAATTTGTTGGAGAACTACAGACACAGGTTCAGCAGCACTGACTACTGTGTCATTCTCTAAACTATTATTATGGCCATCAAGTGACCTAACATCAGAAGAAGCACTATAAGCAGAATCATCATTTTCCAGACACTTTCTTCTGAAGTGAGGCTGCAGTGGATATAAGTATTTATTGTTAAGAACTGAAATTTTAGTGAAGCACAATGCTGAAACATAAATCTCTGAAGGAAAGAACCTGTTGCAGTAAATGAGAATTCAATAGGGATGTGATAACTCCAGTTATTTTGTTTACCCAGTCCATTCTGTCAGCCCTATTTTCAGCCTGTCAAACCAGAAAGACGATGTGTCATGGCTTCTTGAAAATAAATCATTTCCCATCCTTAATTAAATAGCAACCACTTTTGAAATATGTAGGAAAAAGATTGATCAAATTGTTTCCTACAACATTACTACACTTTCAATCATCTCTAGTCCACAACATTTTAGAGCAAAAGTCCAAGACGAAACATGTCCCTGTGCTATCCCAAGATCAGAAGAGTACAAAGCTGCCTCTGATCCTTATTCTAGAAAATCAAACTAGCTAAGCTCACAGAAAGGGAAAAAAAAAAAATAGAGCTTTGTTTCTCACATGCAATCGTGTAAAGAACCAAGCATAAAGAAGAGAGAAATCTAATACATCAGTGACAATAATGAATGTCGTATGTTATCCATATATTTACGAATATTCAAAATGCTTAAACTGGAATAATGAGAGAAAAAAATAGAGTTTTCAAAGAATAGTCTATATAAGAATAACTTCATATAGAAGTTGATCTGATTAAGGCACATGCAGGGTTTGAAGACACGCTCGTATTGGTTCCTGTAATGTTTGGTCAGCATCCTAGATGGTTGTAGTGGGGTGAATGTTGTGGGTTTTGGAGGTCAGAGGCATTCTCTACTTCTAACTTATGTACTTTGTATATTATTATTTGTTAAATAGGGAAATCCCAAAATGATTAGTTAAGTGGTAGACAATAATGGGCTTACAAATAATATAGGCCTTTCGATCTATTACCAATTGATTCTAGATTGGACAGAGAGCTTGGCCTACATTACTCGTTCTTCTTGGGTTGTTGTCCCCAGGGCAAGATTTAAAGTTCTACCAAGATTGCACATGTGAGGGTGTTTAACATGGAAAAATTACACATTGATTGGTTAAAAGGAAACTTATTGATTTATAAACATATCACATTGGTCAATAAATTAATTGTAAACCTTTTGTTGCTTCCTTTCTATCATTTAATCTCTTCAATGATATCCTTTGATCTTAACATTTGAAATAGTTTTCCTCCAGCGAATCTTGGGCAAAAATCCATACTTCATCCCTCGCCTTATTGACTTTGAGGGTGTTGCCCTTTACCTTAAAAAAACTAAAACCACCATTCATCTTCCTCCGAAGCATGTAACAACTATTCGACCTCATCATCTTCCAAACTTTCCTCTTTGAACTTTTTTTTCTGAACTGAACCGTTGATGGTGAATGGAAGCTCAGGAATGAAGGCTGGAGGTGAACATAATTCAAGTCGGGGGAGAAAAGAGAAATTAATTTATTTAATTGAAATTAATTAATATAAAGTAATCTACTATTTAATGAGAAAGTTAATTAACTTTTAATAATATTTTAAATAACATTATTTATTATTTGTATAAACCCTCAAGGTAGATAACGCAAGGTAAGGGGCAAAATATGGGTTTTTGCCAGCCAAGCTAGTAGTGCCAATGTGTAAAATGAGTGCCCATGTGGTGCTTGCATGGGGGAAACAACCTTTTTATACCACACAACTTTATATGTCATTTAATGATTAACTCTTTTCACTCTAGTGGAACGCATAATATTGTTTGCATCCATTCATTTAATGACAGGTACAAGTTGTAAAGAAAAGTTGTACAAAAATGTTGTTGGCGTATCATCACTCAATGATTAACTCCCACATGCTACACATGACCATGGGATGTTAAATTTTGCCTCATTTACTTAAATCCAAAAGTAAGGGGGCAGATATCCTTACATTGTAAGGTGAGGGACAAAAACTCTTAATGTTGATAAGGTGAGGGGCAAAGTATGGGTTTTTGTTGAAAATCTTGTATATTCTCTCTTATGCTTATCATCTTGTATCTTTTACTCTATCCTTAGTTCCTAGATGCAGACTGAAAAGACCCATACGGTTTAAATCTAGCCTTCCATAATGTCTTCTTAACTTCCTTCTTAATTGCTTTAAACTATCAAATGCATCCTCAATCTTAGCAAACTCCAATTCTCTTCCACTCGATTAATAATGGAGCTATTGAATATGGTAAAACTCTACAGCATTGTCGAAAGCTTCCTCACCCTTATAAAACCTCTAATTCTTCTCTACTCCATTAACGCTAATTTTTCATGTGTGTTTAAATAAAATATGCGCTACTCCACCTATAGTTAATTAGGTTTCGGTCGGATGGTCATGTTGTATTGAATCCTACTCGTTTATTTACAATTGAGATGAGGTGTTATTCTTAATAAAAGAGTTATATTTGAGAGGTTTTGTCTTTGTAAGAACACGAGTACTCCTTGTTCTCTGTTCTTAATAATGTCTTTTTTTTCATTCAAAGGAAAAAGGTTTCCATTGAGGTAAGCAACAATGCATGTTAACAAAAGACAAAAATCATAAAGATTAACATTCCTTAAAGATCAACCAATACCTGCAATGTGTATGTCTTCAATGGAGAAATTATTCGAAAGCAAAGTCGTAAATCTGTATCTTCGGCATCCATCTTTATAGCCGCAGTCTGAAGATCAAGAGTATGACAGCCTAGGTTTTCTTCATTAAATGATGATGACCTACTGTGCCTTGTACGGAATCTACTAAACACACCACTATGTTGGTCAGCTGAACCAGTATGATGATGGCTAGAACCCTGTTAATGACCAAAGTAAAAAAAGGGTTTGTTATGACCTCACTTGGTTCAGACATTGCACTCATGCAAAAAAGAAAAAAAGATTCCAACAGAGTTATTCAAATTAATTAAAATTTTGGAACAAAGTGCTTTTATACATGTATCTGGCTTTTTTTTTTCTTTATTTTATCATTTCCTCTTTTTCCTTGGTTCCATCTATTCAACTGATTGATTCAACCCACACAGCAAATAATCAGTAATCCTCTTAAAAAAAATATCAAAACTATCAATAAAAATTAAATAAATAAGGAATGCAAGTACAATATGAACTACAAGAATTCAGATAAGTGTTCTAAATATTTTCACCATTGTTGCAAAAGATATATGTTTTCAATTTTAAGAACATAGATAGTTTGCTTCTAGTAAAATCCAGCATACGAAGCATCATTGTGGCAGATCTATTTTATGTGGTAACCATTTCCTTCAACAACTGTTGCAATAATCAGTATTCAATAGTTAAATCCATAAATTCTCATAGCAATTCCCTTAAACATTTTTGTTTGATAATTATCAGAATCCAAAATATTTGATAAGAGTGCAGGAGAGACAATATAGAAGATAGAAAACCTAATATTGGCAGGTTGCTATATACTTCATTATAGTTTTAAGCATATTATCAGAACATTTTTTATGAAATCACCGATATACGCAAGTCCAAGTATAAAGTATCCAAAACTTGCCAAAACATTAGAGTTGAATGAATTGTGATTAAAAGCAATGCAAATCTTTTCACCTAGCTTCTTTAGTAAGATTGACTTAATAGAGACAGAACATAAAGAAATAGAGCATACCATAGATTTGGTACCCTTATTCCTATAATAATGCAAGGTTCCCTGACTATCAAGGACAAAGAACCTCCTTTTCAATTCTCCCCTCAAACTGGAAGAACGCTTTAACAGATAACCTTGTTTGATTGTCTGGACCTGCATAATAAAATGATGAAAATTATACTACTTGTAGGAGCATACCAATGAAGAACCAACATATATCGTCATTACAATAATAACAACTAACAATCCAATTTAATAGATTTTTGAAAGTGAAGGATATAATGAACACTTGTATTTTATAATTGTAAGCAGAAATTCTCCTTAAAATAGAAAGGTTATGAAAATAAATGGGTCACCTCCCCACTTGCAGTGGACTGCATAAGAGCTTCTATATCTTTGTAGCAACTCAAGCCGGTAATGTGAATGCCATCAGCATTTGTTGAAGGCTCCAGGTCACTAGATGCTTGCAAGCTGTCCAGCTCCGCTTGAGTCCTGAATTCTTGAATCCTTTTTTCAAGTTTATCTTGTTCAATGCTTGCCAATTCTTTAGACTGCTGTGCATATGTTAAAACCTGTCACAGGAATCCACATTTTATTAACACAATCTGATTCTGTAGATTTATTGACAATGATAAAATCAAATTTGTGCCAGGCCGAAAGCCAAGAAACCACTTATA